CATCATAAGGATTCTGAACAAGAAGATCAATGTGGGAATCGGCAACGAGCGAAATTTCCATCAAATCCGGCTCAATGTTTTTGTTTGCGCTCGTCTCGGGAAGCTGACAGAGTCTTCATTTTTCAATCGATGTATAACTGCGGTTGAAAGACGGCTGTCTCCAGTTATTGAACTAAAAAAATACTGGCGCAGGATGGAAAATGCCGTGAACAAACCCAGGAATATAGTTTGGCGTCCACTCAGGTTCCCGACGACGCATTCGAATCCACTGGCGTTGAGTATATTGCTTACAGCAGACGCCGCTCAAATTTCAACCCCACCACGAACGTTGAACGGATTGTCATCCGGGTACTTTGAGAACGCCCTCTATCGAATTTCGTGAGAACAATAGTAACTCGGAAATTAGGAATTTACAATGTAGCTGTCCAATTATTGCCAATGATTTCCTTAATGGATCCATCAAATCCATCCATCATGAGTTCATGATTGTCTCGCAAACTGTCATAGATGGGTAGTAGCCAATTTGCATGCAGGGGCTTCAGAATAGACAGCTGCAAATCAACATTAACTTGCCCGATATCTTCTCCATGTTCTAAGGCTGCCACTACTTTGCTAGCATACAATGCATTAAATACCTCCTCCAAGCATTCTTTGAACTTGTGGTTGAATGAGAGATCCAGAGGTTGCAGCTCCGACGTACAACAAGGAGGAACAAATACTGGTATCACACCACCATCGCAGAGTTTCTGTAAAAAACTCTCGCTTTGGTGTGCTCGAAAAACATTGAATATCACCAAAGATTTTTGTTCAGCTGGCAGGCTAAGTTGGTTACGAATTTTCTGGATGTGTGGAAGGAGAACATTGTTGGCATTAAGATTCATACTGTCCTCATTTCTCCAGTGGTTAGCAGTGTGGTAAATGTCCTACTCGGGACAAAATTAAAGTTTGGATGACATTGACTGATTTTCCCCTTATATAGCACTTGTGGTGGCAACAAGTTTCCGGCCATGGAAACACCAAATAGCATGGTGATTTCCTGCTTATCCTCTAACCCAATAATTGCGACTTGTTTGTCTCCTTTTTGGGTTAATGTTCATAAGCTCACGTGTTCGATATGGACTCCAGTTTGATCAAAATTGATCACTAACTCGGCAGGTATTGCTTCGTTTGACACGGCTTCTGTAATGCGTTCTAAGAATAACGCCTTAAGTTCGCCAAAATTTACTGGCAATTTTCTAGCCGCCTTTGTGCCCTTCCTTTTAACTAATCCCATACGACGAAGCAATGATTCTGACCATGTTTGTGTAAGTTGGGTAGGTCCCCCATGATCTTGTAGAAGTGCACAGTTGTTCTGTAACATAATACCAAGTGCAGAGGCCACAATGATATTTCTGTTCACGATGCCACCCCCGCCTCTTAGTCCTTTTACGTATCGCTGAACTCTTAAATCGAGTTCGCCCAACAAAAGTGGTCGGTCCCGTTTTGCATGTGGCATGCTAGTTACGGGCTGCTTTGACATTGGAAGTTCTTTTAAGTACGAACCTTTCATGGACTGAACTGTACTTTCGTTAATCTTTTTAGCCAAGACTACTGTAAAATGGCGGGCTGCTTTTGAGTTGCCATTTACGGCTGCGTATTTGCCGATCTTCGTACAGGATTTGGGACTGTAAAATTCATAGTGTCCACATTTTCGCTTTTGACCACGCGGCCCAGAAGCTTCTAAAACTGGAGTTACTTCTTCATTTGCTCGTGTGGTTTCTTCAGCGTTGTCGGTTCTTTTTGTATCAGGAAGCCCGAGCTTGATTTGACCATCAGGATTTCGAATAACAAATCACCACATTGTAAATGCTTGAATTGAAATGTGCATTGCTAACAGCGACGCTATCTCATCTGACAGGCTGCTTGTTTACTCTATCATATTTATTTATTTGACAATATAATGAAAGGTCGTTGTGATAAATTTTTGAGAGGGTTGTCTACAATGTTTCAAGTATATTAGCAATTGGGACAATGTTTAGAAATTCACTAGTAAATTTAAAAAACAAATGCAGAAGTGTATGAGCATTCAAGACATTTTTTTCATTCAAAGTTCTGTTGTAACAACTGTAAATTATTTGTTGAATTAGGCACATTTAACCTTACCTATTAAACACAAAGATTATGTTCTCATTTATGCAATCTATAAATCCGGGAAACGTTAATGCGAGAGTACGCGAGTCAGTTCATGCCCTCAATGGGTGAACTTTGGGTAAACACAGCTCAACAATGATATATACATGCGTGGGTGGGGTCTGATGTCATTCTTTTTATGTAGAAACGCAGAAGCAAGATTTGACGTTACAAATAATTTAATCATTTTGGTCACTTCCTCCACAAATCATTGAAGAATGTTGTGTTTTTAAATGAACAAGAACAGCACATCTGCTATATGTATTATAGCTACGGTATTAACCCTTTGTATTGCATAATTTTTCCAGCCACGATTTTGGTGCAAAATACCTTTTACTTGTTTTTATTTAGTTTTCTATAACTTTTTTTTTTCACTTTGGACCACATGAGCTAAGTTTACTACTGGCTACAGGTCTTGTTGAAAGATTTGGAAAATTATGTGACAAAAGTTGACTGGCACTCAAATGGTTAGACCTCGATGACTTCTCCACTGTTTAATACTGTCACAATGCGACTTCATCAAGTCAATTTCTCATGCTAACAAAGATTCAATACATCACATTGCAGGGATTCTAATATTAAATTATATGTTATCTACCTATATTTAGCATAGTATAGAAAATCAAGACAGTATAATGAATTTTCTCTTGTCCAAACAATTCATTGCAATCAAGTTGTGGTAGAAAATTACTCAAACTAGTCTGACATAATCAGTTACTATGTGTTCACAGGCCCGCCCATCATTTAATCTTTTGATCCCACCAAATGCACATTTTCTTCTTATATTCTTTTTGTTTTTTGACCAAATTTATATACCATGTAGATATTATCCATTACAGATTTTGAAAAAAATATATAGATAATGCATATTTATTTTGTGAAGAGTATGAAAAGTTGAATTTTGTGTTTAACCCTTTGAGCGCCAAATTCTTTTCTCCCTTAAATTTGGGTTAATTTGTTCCCTTTTCTGAAATTTTCACTAAATTCAATCTTAATTTGGGATCAAGCAGATAAGTGTAACATTGCTTCTTGTTTTTCATACGGCTTTTGTCAGGCTAGACCCCAAAATTAATACATAAATTAATTATATAATTTAAGTAAGTCTCTGTAATTATTCTTGACCATGCATTCTTGATAAATAAAGCATTTGTGTTTAAAACTTCACTCATCTGAAATATATCCTCTGGTGAAAAAACATGGATTTATTAAACTTAGTTAAGGATAAATAATGAATAGTAACCTCTTTTTATACAGTTCATCTGCTTCAATTTATAATTTAATGCATTCACAAAGGAATTTGATTGATTTATTGAATTGACAAACGAGTACTAGCTCTTGGATCATGCCCTCTGCCAATCAGAAAGTGATTGACTGGTATTACATAAATACTGCCAGTGTAAGAGCTTGCTTATTACACTCCCCCCCCCCCCCTTCCCAAAGACAACAGGGAGCAAAACATTCCTTGCTGTGTTCAAGCTCCAATTATCTCAGAGTATCAAGCAACCTAGTTGATTGAAACCTAATATGCAGACCCTATTAAAATCACAGCAAGATCAAGATTGTGCATTATTTATATCTTATTTGAATATCATTAATACTGGTGAAGAATAATCTTCTACTGTACAACATGTCGTTTAGCTAATCTGTAATTTCGCTAATTCAAGATGTCGCTAATTTAAAATAAAGTACATTTTCAAAAATGAGATTGTTGGCACTTTAGCAAAATTAAGATTCTATTAAATCATGCATTGAGAGTCAAATGTAGTGGAATGTAGTTATTTCAATATGTTCCACATTACATATAGACTTGAGAGGATAGTATTGGATATGTTGTCTGACAATAAATATTTTGGATGAAATTAAATTTAATCATTTTTTTATCAGTGGATTATCATTATATTTTTCTATTATTGCTTTTCTAATATCTGCCAATTGTTGGTATCATTTCATTATTTTTATTAGTTATTTTTTATAATAATATTATAACATAATTAGAATACACCAATTTATAAATGAATCATGAGTAATAGTGTAAAACTGAGTGTTTTTGCTAAGATAGGGGATAGTACCACTAGGAAGAAGTAGTACCGGTACAGTAATTACTATGCAATTCATGTTTATTCTCATTACCTAATGTGTGTATGTCATGCAAAGCTTGGAATTGAAAAATCTAAACGCGACTTTGTTTCTGAATGTAAATATTATTATTTTTCAGTGATGAATTTTCTGTATGTACTGCGTGCTGTTGGTATATTTGGCTTTGCCGGAGGATTGACCAATTGGATAGCTGTTAAAATGATATTTTTTCGAATACCTGGTATACCTGGCAGGTGAGTTGAACACAACTTTGTGATATTTCAGAGACTTTTTATTGTTTGAACTTCAGAAATTAGAAGACCTAACTTGCTAGTCACAAACAAATAAAAAAAGGTGGCGAAATTAATTATGGTAGAAATATATGAATACCATGTTTGTTCTGTTTGAAACACAACAAAATTGCATTTATTGTATGGTAGATCTTTAAATATGTCTTATTTTGACTAAAAACACGTGAATTGTTACCATCTTATCTTTCACAATATGATTTTATTGTTTTGCTCATAGCATAGATAAAGGTCTATACACTGAATTTATCTGTCCTCCCTGGTGTTGTTGTCTCATTGTAAACTTTGTTTCTTGTGGTTTCAATATCTCAGATAGTTTTGGATCTCGACATGTTTTGCCTGTAAAATATTGGTAAAATTTAATTATATATTTTTTATAATATAATATAATCAATCACATTACATCACTCAATTGTTTTGTGTGACAAATTGATATGAATCATTAAAAATGGTATACTTTGGCCCAATTTGTAATAAAAAACTTGTACTTTTAAATGTCTGATATGTGTAATTGGATCTTGTGATCTGATCTAAGTATTTCAATCAGTACATTCATAATTATTTTAAATATTTTCACATCCAGCAATTTGGGTCTTTTGAATGCTGAAGAAGACATACTTGGTCTTCTTTTCACATAACATGATCTAGTTTCATAATTTTCAACATTTTTGATCATGACCTGTAGGTAATGGAAAAGTATGTCTTTTTAGCTCCGCTGTCGACTTTGTCGAGCGGAGCTTATCATATGAGTGATTGTCCGTCGTCGTCCGTGTCAATGTTTTACTTTTTTGACTTCTTCTTGAAAACTACAAGCCTGAATGCTTTGATACTTGGTGTATATGTACCTTGGGTAGACCTCTCTTAGGTTTGTTCATTTCATGTTGATATCTTCAATTCTCTAATTTTGGTGAATATTTTTGTAATTTTTGGTAAAAAGTGATATTTTCGACTTCTTGTTAAAAACCACAAGTCTGATTGCTTTGATATTACATATATAGGTACTACATGTGGACCTCTCTCAGATTTGTTCATTTTGTGATGATATCTTCGATTCTATAATTTTGGTGAATATTTTTGTCATTTTTGGTAAAAAGTGATATTTTCGACTTCTTGTAAAAAACCAATAGTCTGATTGCTTTGATATCACATATTTAGATACTACATGTAGACCTTTCTCAGATTTGTTCATTTCGTGATGATATCTTCGATTCTATAATTTTGGTGAATATTTTTGTCATTTTTGGTAAAAAGTGATATTTTCGACTTCTTGTAAAAAACCAATAATCTGATTGCTTTGATATTACATATATAGGTACTACATGTGGACCTCTCTCAGATTTGTTCATTTTGTGATGATATCTTCAATTCTCTAATTTTGGTGAATATTTTTGGCATTTTTGGTAAAAAGTGATATTTTCGACTTCTTGTTAAAAACTGCAAGTCCGATTGCTTTGATACTATACATATTGTTCATTTTCTAATGATGTCTTCAGTTCTTTAATTGAAATGTGCATTGCTAACAGCGGAGCTATCTCAGCCGATAGGCTGCTTGTTGGTTTTCAAAACTAATTAAAAAGGAAATTATAGAAAACTTTGCAAAAAATTACACCATAAATTTTGTAAGAAAATTCTTGGTCGAAGACTTTGCATAGTTTATAGGGTTACTCACTTAGACGGTAATAAGTACACAAATAATACAACCGCTGGGATTTCATCGTCATAGGTACGGTCATCCAGGTTAATCTCAACCTAGTCTTATCTCTGCAGTGCAATCAAGGTTAGGGAACTTCTCAGACTGATGTATTTTAGATGAAAGTATTAATGTCATTTATTATGTTATGGTTAAATCCTTGAGTTATTATAATATGGTATTTAATAGATTAGATTTGTATTGATTTGCTTCTGATGTCTGTGATCAACTTCAACAACTTCTCTTCCATTGAAGAGAAACCAAATTGAAACAATGCTTAAAATTTCATTACATTTGCCAAAAATTGTACTCATCATCAAGCAATCATCAATTTAAATTTAATTACATCTACCGTAATTAATTTGTATATTTGCCTGTATCAAATTTGAAATATTACTGTATACACATTTTCACACTGTAGTACTCTACGTCATATTTTATTTACTGTTTACCATTTAAATTTCATGGATATAAATTTTCGCAATTTCTATGCAAGTTTGTGAAAAACAAAATTTCATGAAAGTCCCCAGGGAAATTCTATCTGCTAGAAAATTTAACAATTTTCACAGACTTGCGAAATTTGCAAAAATTTCTCATGGATTTAACCTTTTCACCACAAGACTTTCTCTCCCAAATCATTCTGCACTTTTATTCTTGTATTCTTCAATATTTCTGGAATGAACCTTAATTTTATAGCCAACAGAAAAAAATTTGAGTCAATTTTGAGTTTTTACTCAAAAAAATTTGGCTATTTTTGTCCCAATCTTCTGAAGAAAAGTGCAGATTATAAACGGCACTATTTTATGAAATTGTGATGAAAAGAAGGAACTGGTGGTAAAAGGTTAAAGAGGTTGACAGATTTTAAATAAAGATCATGATGCTAAAACTTGCCAATGTAAGCTTTGTTTTGATGGCTAGTCTGTGTGCGTGATTGTCTGCTTAACCATGAGTTTGATGCTTATCATGATGTCTGTAATCATGCACAGATATCCTATTATTATTTCCTGAATTGTTGCCAGCTCACGCATGTGTAATCCGCATAGCGATGACAGGAATAATAATCATGTGTACATGTCAAGGTATGTCTGACATGATTTCATTCCTCGCTTTCTGTTTCTATTCCTCCGAAAATTGAAAACTAATAATCCCATTAATGTATTTAAGCGAAAGATCAGCAGTATAGTGAAAAATTCATAAAACTATATTTAGATACTAATTGTATTGACTTTATTTTTATTGAATCAATGAGATAGTCTCATATTGAGTGCTGCCTGCTGTTTACTGTATATTTCTAGAACAGTTCTCTGCTTTAAAAAAAACAACAGAATGTCTGCATAGCAATTTGATGTCATCAGTATTTGTGTTTTATCATTTCACAAAGCTCTTATATCAAATCCAATTTGCTAAACTGGGAACCATTTCAAAATATTTAGGAGACTTGACTTCTTGTCAACTAACCTAGGTTCTGGTTGATTGTGTAACCCGTTCTTGAAAACGTACTACCAGTATATCTAGTAAGTTAATAACTGAATAGCTTGAGTACATTACTGTACATATAGATTTGTTTGAAAACAATTGAAATGTACCGTTACAACTGTCAACTCTGTGTTGTTTGCATAACCTGTATTAATAAACACCATTATTAATTTAATTCACTCAAAATCGACTTGTATTGCTCATAATGTCTGGCTTAGGCAAGATTTTGTTTAAAAATTCACCCATCGAAAAAACATTGATATTTTCTTTTCTTGGAATTTGTATGTGTTTGATGCAACTAGGAATATCCGAACACAATCTTGCACATCGAACCTTCAAAATAACATTAAAAACCCAAGAGATTGTTACATGGAAGAAAAGACCGCAGTATTGCCTGTCCCTGATTTGTTTACCTGAAAGAAGAGAAAATTCTAACGAGTGCAGTTTTGTTTTGAAATGAACGCAGATACAGATTTTTATGGGTTTAGGAATATTCAAACATATCTAGGGCATTGAACATTCAAAATAACATTCAAATCTCAAGAGATGTTACATAAAAGAAAAGAATGCAGTAATGAGCGTCTGTCACTGATTCTAATACAGATACAGCTTTTCACAGAACAGTAAATTTATAGTTTTCAGTGACATGCGTATAATAATGTCAAGGGATACCTTATCTTTTTATTCTGCAGTGGCATCATATCGAGACATTTCATTGAAATAAGACATTGTCTGTCGGGAATAGTCTTAGAAAGCTTTTTTGATAAGGAGTTTTTATCTGAATATTTAAAGGATAAATATGAAGATTTTGCGGAAGCCATTAATTTAGGTGAGTGTAATATAATTGTATACAGGGAAACAATTAACTCAAATGTAATCATAATGTCAATAGTTCACTTATCTGATAGGAGATCAACAAAACTCCTGTTTTTGATGCAATAAATATGGTACATATAAAAAAGATATAGAATTACTGACATGCATGTTTCAAAGTGGAGGGAAAACTCTGGAGCGAACATCCAGGTGTTTTTAATGCCTGGCAACCACAACCAGTGACACAATGATAAAAAAAAATGTACTTTTGGTCTAGTTGTTGAGATTCTCCTGAACAGTGTAACAAAATTACCCCTACATGTACAGCATATAATAAATTTGGTTGTTCAGGCTTTAGCTGTTTTCACCGAATTTCGACCAGTGCTCGTACAGAGCCCATACAAATATATGGTAAACTGGTGCGCGTCTTAGCAACATAGAACGTTCTGTGACGTAGATCCGCCCCTGAAAATAAGGAAAAAGTGACAGAGGGATAAAGAAGATTGATATGAATAAATCTCCTCATAGTTTATGGCTCTGCCCCTGAAAATAGGGAAAAAGTGACAGATGGATAAAACAGATACGAATAAATCCCATCACAGTCGATCATTGTCATGTATAACAGTGATTATTGAAAACTATGTACGGGTATGTAATTTTGAGTAGAGATTATGGGAACATAGCCTTTATGCATTAGAAGACTGCTAGTTTGCATCAAGAATTTGAATAGATTCATCACAATTGGGACAGATTATTCCTGCTCATGGCGCTTCGCAAAGCCTTTTAAGAACTTAATCATGTGAATGATTCCTATGTAACTCAATTCTCGGAATGTTTTTTTCCCTTCGTCAATGCCGTACAATCTATATTTAGAATCTAATACAATTTTAGACATCTTTAGGCTATCCTGTCTCATACTCAATAGATTCTATTCTGGGTCCTTTCACTGTTGCCATGGCAATACCCATACTATGTACAATGTGGTGGAGGAGGATATTACATTCCCTCACATTTCAAATTCAATGCAAAATAAGTGATGTCAACTTGAGAGGTGTGACATTGTTGAAGATAAATTTTTTAAATTTATTTGCTCATACCAGTATTATGTTGATTTACTCGCATCGCATCGCATCGCATCGCATCACATCGCATCACAGGAGCTGTTTAACTACTAGAGAATAGTCTTTCAAACTGTAATCAACATTAATGTCTCTCTGCAGATGAATGTTTGAATGAGGTCATGAAAACAGAGAAAATGAATGACATTCTAAATAAATGTATTGATGAAATTCTTACAAAGCCAGAAGGTGAGACAATTCTTTCTCAGAACACAGCATTATTTTTATTGGCTACGAGTAGATGTCTACACACAAAGGTCAACAAATCTTTAGATTTTTTCAATTGGATGTATTAGTTGTTTTAATGAGAAGTACCGGTAATAATAATGCAACAGTATGAAAAGAAAGTTGTGTACTTGAATGCAGCATGGAATAATAAAATAATGAATTTATTGCATCTTTAGTAATAGTTTCCATTGGTTGACAGAAATAAAATACAATATTGTTATCATCATTCAGAACAGTATGTTAAGCTTAATTATTATTGATATGTTAAATATGTATTAATAGTACATGTAGCTGTGACAGAATTTAGGTTTGTGAGAAAATCAGAATAATGTTTAGTATGTACTGCCATCGTAACTAACATGGTTCTTCAATGTTTGGCTATGTTGTCAAAATGGTAGGATGTTAATAATGCCTAACAGTGCAGGGTTCATACAGTCCAGGAATTTGAAAGGTGGCCTGGGAAGTCCTGACTTCACCAAATGCATCGCTAAAATACCATACACTACTGTCAATATTAAGAGAAAATATTAAGCCTAGCATGTTCCATGCATGACTATCAATACAGTTCTTGATTGATCTTGATCTGTACTCTCTGTGCACACACACACACAAACACTTTTGGGTAAATAATTTGTTGACATGGTACTTGAAATGTATATTGAGTATTTAGGCAAACAGAAACTACAGCACAGATCTGGCTTTGTGTGAGGACCAACGACATGAACATGTCGGGCTAGTAATACACCCAATTTCATTCATTCATTCATTAAAAAGCTTCTATCTATAAATAGCTTACTGGTGACTGTGTCCAACAACAAAAACCAGGGGTTTTATAATTAAATTATGCTAAATCACATAGAAAAATTAACACTTGCTTCTGCATTTTAGAATTGTAATAATGTAACGACTACCGCATCAAATCAGTTTCCATTATATTCTGATGCCACTATAACGTGATCTAATTATGATTTGTTTATTGATCTCTCAAACATTGCAGCTCATAGTCAACTCAAATTTCTTCTACCTCGTCTTTCATAACTTCTAATTTGTCGGTAATTTTCAATTTTATCATGTAACTTTAAATTAGTATAAACCATCATGCATGTACATTCGTTGTGATATTTAGTGTAATTATTTTTTTTGTTTTTGATGAATGCATGTTTCAGATAATTTTACTTTCTAATCGCAGGTATTCATGCACAGTCGTCAACAAGCAGTGAAAAAGATTCAGTTCACAAGAAAATCATCCTGAAGCAGATTTTGGAAAAAGTATGTTTGGATAATCTTCCATTGGTGAGTTTGTCCTTCAACACAAGTTTAAAGCGGGAGGGTCGTCATCTGCGCATGCGGGAATTGAGTCCCAAGCGACGATAACGATATGTTTGTAAACATAAACACCCTATAGCCATCTGACGCATGCGCAGGTGACGACTCTACTACTGCTGCTAATGCTAGCTAGCTAGTGCTCTGTTCTATTAATGTTCTTCTGTTGTTCTCTCTGTCCCTTTAGAGTAACGATTTGTAAAATGTACGACAACTTAACCCTTATCCTGCCAGCCCCATGTACTTTGACATTGACTTGATCAGATTTGTTTGTTGCCATATGGGCCATGGCAAAATAATTTATCGTGAAATGTATGCAAGCTAAATTTACCCAGTAACTAGCAAAATAATTGATTAATGCTAAAGATGTGGTACTATAACTGGATTTATGGGCAATTTAACGATATCACATTTGTGTGTAAATTTCACTCTGATGAGCTAATTCTTCTATGAATACAAAAGTATCATTATTTTGAAATGCTCATTCTATATTTATTATATTCATGTTTAAATTGTTGAATTTACCCAATTCCAGTTTGTCTTAATTTGTTGTTTCAAAATTCCGAAACATAAAATATGCATGATGTCTAGACATGCTAGTACCCAAATGTCAGATGGGATTAACCATTAACTAGGATGTGCAACCTTCTTGCAAGAAAGAGGATTGATTGTGGAGTGAAGACAATAAATTTTCATAGTTGCTATGGTAACAGTGGAATATTTTTAGTATGTGTTGTTGAGGGAAAGCTGTGCAATGCATACCGTTTGTAATGCCTCTGTGCTATATTCTAGATACTTTGTTATTCATATTTGATTTTGCCTAAATCATAAATTAGGATAAGTTGATTAATTTAGTAAAGCTGAATTCCTACTGCATTTCCCCCAAACATCCTAGTCTATAGATTTTATGGTCAAATTAGATAAAATTGAATACTAATTATGTAAAACAGGGACTTATAATTTTGTGTTGTTTGCACCTGTATTACAGAGCCAGTTACATTTAAACTTCACACACATGTTTCATGATCCAATTAGAGATGGCCATTTATAAAGTGCTGCAAAATCATCAAAATCAAGCATTTTGGCCATTTCGGAACCGATCATGATTGGACATATTTCATTCAAACTTGGTTTGTTTATTAAACATAATAATTTTTCTTCAGGATTTTTGGCTCATAACAGTATCAACTGGAACTGTGTCACTTTCAATGACTAGTTTTCAAAGCAGCAAAAGCAGTTGAGTTGAATATGGTCATTTGGTGAGGACTGTAGAAAATTATGACACCTGTCGCACACTATTATGGGAAATAAAACGCATAAAATCATCAGTGAGAGGCCGTCAGAAAGAGGTTTAGACACTCAAGATGGTGACTTATTTGACATTTATCCCAGGGCCTCCAGGAAGTTGTCATTTTGTACTGTAATTCCTGAGGTTTGCTAGCAATTCTGGATTTCAATAGATGGTGCTCGGATCCTGATGCAATGATATGGTCATCTTATTTCACTTGCAAGTGTTAATGTACAACAGCGGTATATGCTATGCATTGTCACTAATTACACAGAAAATGTGTTATTAAAAATAAAAATTGGAGAGAAAAAATTGATAGTTTATTACAGCCTTAATAGCTCAGTCATCAGTTATGTGAATTTGTCAGCAAACGGTTCATTCATACAAATTTTGATGTAATTGCTACTTTAGATTAAAGGTAGCGAGAGGAAAAAAAGAAGAAATAGTGTAATTGCAATTAGAGTATTCTCCGTCACTTAATAAGCATCTAGCTGTGACAAAAAGAAAATTGGAATATAGAAGAATATGTTTGTGTATTACTTTGGAGATTATGTTACCAAAATTTCATTAATGGTTAGCCATAACTCAAAATCAAAGATACACAAAAACGTCTAGGAGGCGTCATTTTTTTTATGTGAACAGATGACGAAATTTGTGCATCATTGGCACAAAAGAAAGATTTTTCTTTCAATTGTCGTAATAGTCAATAATTAAATTTCATAAAATGAAATAATACTTTTTTTTTTTATATATTTGACCCGCAGATTACTGTAAAAGGATTAATTATTCACTGGGTTTTAATTTTGCTTATTTCGCTGACTGGAAAATGCGCTAAATAAAAACCCAGTGAATATGTAAAATTTAGCATTGAACACATTATCTAAATGATCAAACCGTGAATTAAAACCCACTGAATATGCCTGAAATGGTAAATCAGCGAAATTTGAACCAAGTGAAAATTAGTAGTTTTACAGTAACACCAATTTATTGTCAAATGATTAGATCATACTTATTATGATTATATAAATTTAATCTTATAAATTTGATCTGCTTGGACTGTTATGTAAAAAAGCTATGAACCCAGCAACTTACAAAACTGAGCAATTTCAGTAAGACTGAATGCTAACTTGAATATGGCGGCATATCATGCAACTAATTCGTTCATAATCTCTTGTATGTTATGTGAAATAGTTCCAATTACTGTAAAATCTGTATTAGAAGCCGCAGCTTCTATTAAAATGGTACAATGCAACAGAGGGGATGTGGCTTCTATCAGAGCATCTACACATGTGAGAAATGATGAATTTTTGGTTCTCAATTATTCCAAACTTCTATTAGAGATGCGGCTTCTAATACAGATTTTACGGTAGTATGCAAAGAAATTCATTGTCTTCAGTCAGTCACTTGACTTAGTTTTGTCAATGTATCATAGAATGTTTACCCACAACTGGGTTTTGAAAAATAAACCAAATGCATCGCACACTGTAAATTTCAAACAATGATACATAAAAAATGTAATATTAATGTTGCATAATCCGGGATTATTTTATAATGTCTTTTTAGTCCCCGTTCGGACGCAGTCTGAAAACGAGGACTTATGTTTTGACCTCTGTGTGTCCGTGCGTGTGTCCGTGCATGCGTCTGTGCGTGCCTCCGGACCTGTATCTTAGAAATGCCTGGACCAATCACTATCAAACTTCACACATACATCATACATGATAGTATACATATGCACGTCAATTTGTTTCATGATCTGATTCAAGATGGCCGAATGGCGGCCATTTTTGTGATAAAAAATCATCAAAATCAAACATTTCTCGGCTGTTTACAGATGAATTTTGTTCAAACTTGGTATATACATTAGACATTATGGGACCTTGATGCAAATAATTTTGTTTTTCAGATAAGATTCAAAATGGCTGACTGGCGGCCATTTTGTTTTAATGAATGTGGTTCTTGTGCCATATCTCTGACTTGCTTTCACTGATTATGTTCAAATTTTAAATATTCATTATACATCATGTCATAGATAGACAGATATATTGGTTTGACGATCCTATTCAAAATGGCCAAATGGTGGCCATTTTTGTGCTAAAAAATCATCAAATATCAAGCATTTATGGATGGATTTCATTCAAATGTGGTACATATGTTAGACATTACAGGGTCCTGATGCACATCATTTATTTTTCAGATCGAATTCAAAATGGCTGTTTGGTGGCCATTTTGTTTTAATGATTGGGTTTCTAGAGCCACATCTCTTAAATGCTTTGACTGATTATATTCAAATTATATATATTCGTTATACGTCATGTTATATATTATGTTACATGTATTCAAAATGGCTGATTTTGAATGCTGTTCCAGAGCAATATCTCTCAATATGGACAAGTACTTTTTTGATGATCAGATACAAATGTCAATCATTTTAATGTTAAAAAAATCATATTCCTGACATGGTTATAATTCCAGCTATATTACTATAAACAAAACTATATATCTTAAATTTGATAACTAACAGGGACTGTGCCATGCATGGCTTGTTTTTCGCTTTTTTCCCCCTCTTTCTACCTTAATTGAGATTTTCTAATTTAAGAAGTAGCTATTTAATTTATCAGACAACTTATTCTACAATGAGATTTGTTGACATTTTAGCTAAATTGAGAATTTTGTTAATTTATCACATCTGTGCATGCTGTTATATACCGTACCATTTTAATTGTCTAACGGTTGAGGCTTTCAGATGTGTTGGAAAGTAGCTTATAATTTGGGCATTTTAGTTAAAATTGAAATTATTCTGATCCTGCATTGAGCCAAAATTATCTTTATTGTACACTTATTTTTCAGTACTTCAAAGTTTGTATACAATCTGCTCTTTTATTAGTTAAAGATAATCTGATGTCCTCACTAGTGATGATCTGAATCACAATTTCACTGTACGGGCCTCAGCTATTAATTGTTATTACCACATATGTTATAAAATCAGCTGTAATTAATTTAAACATTCAACGGACATTTTATGTCCTCTGATTGTCAGCTGATAATGTGCCTATAATACTAAATTCACTATGTTTAGGGACATTTCTATTTTAGTGTTATTAATCCCTGCGGTAAAGAGGGGGGAGTCGTTACCTGCACATGTGTCAGATGGCCATAGCGTGTCATTGTTTATAAACGAGCTTCTACCCACGAGCCTTTGCATTTTGAGCATCTGTGTTGTTATCATCGCTTGGGACTCGATTCCCGCGCATGCACAGGTGATGACCCTCCTGCTTTAAAATAATTGTTTTCATGTTCTGTTAGGACATTTTAATTGTAAATGGTCTCTATATGCAACATTCAATGTACATGTACATAATCACAAATTATTAGGTTAAGAAAAGAATTAGCTCTCACCCCCAAAAAAATGATTAATGAAATCAAAAAATATAATTTTATTATATAATTGTTATGATATTCCACTTGCGACTCATTTCAAACAGAACTTAGTGCGTTATGAAAAACACTCTTATTTTTATCAATACAGTTTCCCAAAGTTGTGTGAGCTTAAGTGGATATGCAATATTTACATGAAATATATTCTATTACCTACTTTACTGAAACTGATATATCTTTACTAATAGGTCAGAAATATATTTCTGACGCACTGTTTTATTATGGAGAGTTTCACAAAAATTAAGCATGTCATATTTCACTACCTCCACAAGACCCCCACCCCACCGCCACCCCCAACTAGAGTCCCATGTAATATGCACAATGTTAATCTAAAAAATGTTATCCGTGACCCCATATATCATATATTTCATATATGACCTTGTGTAACAATAAGTAATTTATTTGTAAAATATAAATAAAAAATTTAAAGACTTTCATGAAACTAATAAATCAAATTACTCCTCAAGTCGGCATACTTGTTTCTGTATTCAGTGCTTTGCAGACTTCCAGACTATAAGAAAATGCTTGATACCAGTGTCTAATTTTTGTAAGAATGCGTTATTATATTATCTTTGTCTGTCTATGGAGAATGTATGGCATTTTTAAATTTCCTTATCCATCACTATTTGTTTGAAATTAAATTAGCTTGTGTTCTATTATTAGCAGCTATCTTTTTCGTCAATGGTGATCACTGCACATAGCCTTTCCCATGCTCAACTTAAGACCCAGAAGAGCTAATTATCACTCACCTAATAATACCATTTTAAGAAGATTTTAATAGTGCAGCTAGCCTAATCGTTTGCATTACTATGTTCAGAAAAGCCATTTTAAGCTCACGGACCATTTCCAAAAGGCAAAGCCTGGTTGATGTAGCATGAAAAAAGATGTGAGCTACCGGTACTTTAATTTTGCATGAAACACATTTTTGAGAGTCACGAGAGAAGCATGAAAAGCAAGTCGTAATTTCACTGGAGTTCTTTAACCCTTTTTACAAAAATTTAGTGCATCATTTTGCAAAATTTTATGTGTTTTTCTGTAATTTGTTCATCTTGGACTAAATTGAAATAATTTCCAATTGAAAATGCGTTAATCATTGGGGAGTGATTGGATGTAACAAAATGTAAATCACTTGCTAGGGATTTACATAAATATAAATCCACCATATGTGTGAATAATGTACACTGCTAACAGTAACGATCCTTTAGTGTGTCTACTTTATGACCTCTGAATCCAATAACTCAACAATATAATCCATGCAATTAGTGGTATTCATCTTTCTTCAAGTAATTTGACCATATTGATTTAAGTTCTTGTGTAATCGAAGATGACTGAGCAGGGAGCACGTTTATATTGATAAAGTCTCTTTATATAATGGACATTATATTTTCAACTTCTTCTAAAATGTAAACAAATCTTAAAATTTGGCAATAAATTTCATCTACAATGAAATATTGTACAGTGAGTTTTACCTACAGTGTACTGTATGGCAGAAATATTTAATTTGAGATGTGAACAAACTTCCACATAACAACTGACATAATTTTTTTTTTTTTTTTTTTTTTTTTGTGCGAAGGAAACAATATTATTATATACCTTGTATTGCCCGGTCACTTAATGCTATGGGAAGTGCGCCCTCACATCAGGGCAATAATTTCCTGTATCACGCCTGGCCCGGCACACCCAGTTTTTATCATTCAAAATCAAACGCGTCATTCGGAATTACATTGTGCGTTTGAGGTCACGCCATAGTAAAATTGTAATTACACCTATACCTGTGTTATACTGATTATATTCGTGTGAAAGTATCTGTGCAATTTTAATTGTACAGTATGAATGTTTTGTCTTTTGCTACTCTCGCAGCTAAAAATAATATTTTTGTGTTTGTTTTTAGCTTGTTAAAGATATTAAAAGTTTAGTTGTAAGTGGCGAAAATATAAGACAACAGCTAGAAATATTATTGAAGACTAAAGAAAATAGAATGACTGCAAATCAAGTCAACAAGGTAATGTAATAAAACTGTCTCCATAATCCATTTATCCAATTGTCAGTGGATTGATGTTCAATATTCACCTCATTACAAGTATACTATAACAACATTAATAAACTCCCCATAGCAAAAATCACACAGGCACTGGCAGGGCAGGAATCTATTATGTATAGTTAATATCATATGATATATCAACAGTATGTCTAGTATGATACTGCTGAAAAAAATATATATATTATTATCTAACAGATCTGATTTCAACATATTAGAATATGTATATTATATGAAAGTTTAGTTTTTACCTTGCCCGTATCATCAAAGATGGAAGGGAAAGGTATATTAAGGGAAAAATTTTGTCCGGCATTGTCGTCGTCGTTGTTGTCGTCGTCGTCGTTAATAATTGTTATTGTGTGCATAATAACTTTACTAATTCTATTCCAAACTTTATCAAACTTGGTCACCTTATTCATCAGTATAAAGTCTTCCCTGAGTTTGAACAACAGATGTCCTGTATGAAAATATCATGCAAAAATTGAGAAAATCTGATAAAATATTTTGACTGTTTCTACTTGACTGATCACTGGTGATACACATCAAAGGTCACTGATCTCAGTGGAAATATGCATTGTTGTATGTGTTCAATGAAGCAAATGATTTATCTTGTAATAATATCCTTGGTAATGTATCTCAGAATCCCATACTGGGTTTCAAAACCAACTCATGGAGAGATTGCACAGTCTGATACACATTTGCAAACCTACCAATAAAATCTTTACAGAAAACAAGATGTCAGAAAATCAATATAAGCACTCCTATGAACTGGGTGCCTAACTTTGATCAAGATCTGAAGCTAATAGCAAATCTGTTTAGTGCAAAGTTATCAAATCAAAAACAATACATAAAAAATACATTAAAAGCAAAACATTTCATCCACATTTTAAAAAGAAAATTATTCTAAAATATATGTATTCTGTATTTGACAAACAGTTCATTCGACAAATGAAAACTCACAGGAATATGTTTCAGCTATTAGAACAGAATGATAGAGTTTTTATAATACTAGTTTAAAAACGCACTTCAAAGATTGCAGTGTTTGAAGATGTAGATTCTCAGGAGGCAACAATACTGTTGACTT